ATAAAGAAATTCCTCAGCTTATTATTTTAATACAATGAGTGAAGTATGCAGTGAAATTTAATTCCAAACCCTGTCATTATTATTACTCCTATGCATTCCCAGAGGAACATAGGAATTCAAACTGGAAGTATAGTTTTACCAGTAGTGTTGCTTTTACGGAGGGGGTGGGGGGTTGCCAGCCTCACTCCCAATCTTCCTACATTTCCGAACCGGTTAAGCGAGGTTTAGGAGTGCGTCCTCTAGGAATCGAACTGCAGACCATGTGCGTTGCTGGTGTGTATTCTACCAATAAACCACCGATATCCTAATCTATGCATTTAGAGATATTGTAGTACAGTTAACGGGTATTAACCATGTAAATATGCCTAGCATAAGGAAATAAATAATCAATCTGCAGGTACATCATGAATCGCCTATTAAAACAAACTGTAATATAACCGTAATTGTGATAGTAATGATAATCATAATGGTGATTTCACACGTGACAGATAACACATAAATACACAAATATATAATCACAGATACTGCAAAATGACTAAATGTCAGCTTTAATGATACTAATAACAATAGTCATAGTAATAATAATAATTCGATGCAACAAAGTTTATAACATATCGGAACAAAGGTGTAATACCAAATTTTCAAGTAATCTCTTTATATACTTTGTAGTTAGATTAGAAAAAACACTCATTTTGAAATGCGTTAATGCATTCACAATTACAATAGACATATAGTGTTATATATATGTACATGAACAAACACAGTACGCCTACATAACTTATAATTGAAATAAGTTACACACTTCACACTCTAAAGCTGATATCAGTCATGAAGTACAGGTACTATAATAATAGTAATAATAACAATAATAATAAATACTGTCTTGTATCTTAGTTAGCCGACAATTATTTACAGAAAATGATATTTCATGTGATATTATTACACAGTCGGTTGTTAAGTAATTTCAATGTGAACAAGAAAAAAGGTATACACATACAAGGGATTAGACTAATCACCGAATGAATGGTACTGCTTCCTTTCATCCGTACAGTTTTCATAAAAAAGAGAATTTTTCTTAAAAAATAAACAATATTAATGGAATATTCAAGTGTTGGTTTGTAGGGATTTGACTGATTACAGGATTTTCATCATGAGCTGACATCGGTTAGAGAACCATTGGAAAACCAGCTGGGAGTACTGGACAGCTGTTTCGTCAGCCTAGTTTGGGGCTCTTCATCAGTACGCACCCACCGGGGTTCGAACCCAGGAACTTCTGGTTACAAGGCGAGCTCGTATACCATTAAGCTACTGGGACCCGATCCCATTAATGGAATACTTTAATACATTCCTAAGCATATTACATACACCATAACTTTTGTTTAATTTCTGCTAGCCTACAGGTTGAATTCAACTGATTGCGAGAAGTGAAAAATTCTTCCGATAAACATTTAAAGGGGGAACGAACGCACCAATCAAATTAAAACACGTACAAGTGATCTAAAAAGGCGAATTTTAAGTCCTTGCTTATTATGTAACTATTATTATATCCCCTTAGGTTCTAAGTAGAACATAGGGTTTCAATAGCTCATCTCCTCCTCACACAATCTCCTCCATGTCGCCTTCAGACGCACGACCAACTAGTTTCTTCCCATTTGGGTTACACTAAAGAGCCTGAATAGCGCGTGGTGTTGTCATTTAATGGTCTTCTCGTTGGGTGTTCAACCCATATCCATTTTCTACGGTATATTTGTTGGGTGATAGGTTCGTCGCAGCTTTGTGGACAGACTTCATTGTTGCCTATCCTTTATGGCCACCTGATCTTCAGTATGGAGCAAAGACACCTGTTGATAAAGGTTTGAAGTCTACTGGAAGTAGATTTAGTGACACTACTTAGAAGAACTGACTTTCCCTAATCTAAACTTAAATTAACCCAGATATCCTGTTTAATAATATTCTTATAATTCTTTTTTTCACTATCTTACTCTGTATGCAAGCTTCAAGGTTATTGGTGTGTTCGTTCCTTTTTTTCACTATTCTTTAGGTTGACCATCTTTTCGTCAATCATCACCATCATCATCAATAAAGGCAAGACTAATAGTTACTCAGGGTGTCTAAACGGATTTTCAACGTTGTGGTAGTATGCTGACAGCCTACTATCATTCTGCGATAAAGACATCATGTTTTTGTCTTATATATCAAGAACAATAAACATTATAAGGTTAATTTAATTTAATTGTATACTGTGTTCTCTAACTCTTGGACATTCATATTAAATTTGTGTACAATTTAACAATTTAGGATGTCACTGTCAAATGCAAATAGTTTTGAAATAGTTCGGTGATAGTGTCAACAAAAATGACGTAGTTCATGACCTGACTGAGGTTTTAACGTAGAATACCGCACAAAAGTGTGGTCATGACCGGATTACTCATTAAACGCAAAGGTACAAATCATTATTAACATAATAAATCATGTCATGAATTCGATTTAGACAAAATAAAATAATAATTTAGCATAATACTGATAAGGTGTGACTAGGATTGAAGTTGTGGTAAACAGAGCAGTTAAGATATGACAGACAATGGTATTATAAGGGGTAAAATAATGGTAAAAATTGAGGGATGGACTAAGAAACAAAATTACTCTATGTAATAAATATACTGGATATTGGAGTATTAGAAAGATGAACAATGTTTAAGGATATATAGAGAGGATGGACCAAATCGAAAATGGTAAGTATAAAGAGACAGCAAATTACCAAGGTAGTGAAAAGTAGACCACGAAATCCTTTAGTACATAGCGATAGGACCTTGAATCGTTGGATTACTGCCGCTTCTTGCATATCGCAGTAATCTACTATTACTCTGTTTATAAACTATCCGGAAAGCTGTGTTAGATATATCTATCAACAGCACTGTTAGGTACTGTTGCACTTAATGGAAATCTTTTTGCCACATATTCAGAAATAAGATAATTTAATAGGGCATAAGTCATCAAATCATTGCAATTAAGTGGCATCTAGGCCACGTAGGCCCGCTGTTAGAGCACCGGACTAGCAGTTCGGAAGCTAATTGGTTCCAATCTCTCCATGACCATTTAATCATCACTTATTAAATCATTCACACAAGTCGGTTGAACGTTTCACGATCCGATAACGGGATTTGTATATGAATGTTCTTCAGCACAAAGTAGGGCAGAAGTAAAAATCAGGAAATGGAGGAAAAACCAAGCCACTAGAGTGAGATATGATTAAAAATAGACCAAAACAAAAATGTAGATCATTAAGCAAGACAAATAAAGATTGCTTAAAGATGCCCATTAAAAAAATTTTAAAAGACTTATTAGTGAACTGAAAATATTCTATTCGACAGCTTCTTCATCCAGTTCTACAGTTAAAAATCCATAATAATTAAAAAGTAATAGTCATTGACAAAATTAATGGCTTTTTTAAAAATAATATCGAATCATTAAGACGAATAGACTACAGATCAAAAGCGTCTGCAAGTGATAATAAGCCCACTAGATATAACACTAGACTGAATATCAGATAAATTAAGAGAGATAATACAGTATTTATGGATTTATGTATCCCACAGTATGCCAGAATAGAAATAGTGGCTGAACATGTTACTTTTGAGCACTGTTGTAGTATTAGGTATCTAGAGTCTTTTAGCAATTTATTCGGTACCCGACAGATGATACGAAAAAATTCTTTAATGTTGGCTTTATGGATAATGTGGACTAAGTGATCTAATATCGAATTGTTGATAGTTTTTAATACGCCTTTATTTAACCCATACTGGTAGATTTCCTCGAGCATAAATCATGACTGTTCTAGTCCATTTCGTTATTTATATTCACTAGCCACTTATGTTTTGCGTTAGAGATATCACATATACCAGTCAGTCACACAAAATAAGTTAACAGCTGATTAGTCAACTTTGAAATTGTACTCGGCATTTCCTTCGATATGGCTTTCGGCACATGTCTACAAGTTATTTTTATCACTCCTTCAAAAGTAAGTTCAGTAATGCTTGTTTGAAATCAATTACCTGAATCAGGTCTTTCACGTTCCAGGCTATGAACTTCATTTATTGACTGAGAGCTGTATAATACTACCCAGTTAAGTAGAACCAACTGGCCGGAAGCCGAATGGTCAAGTCAGTGAGTCATTTCTTCACAAGTGGTTGAATGACTGTCAATGGGCTCTCATCTTAACTTGAAGGTCCTAGGTTCAATCCTCGGTGGCGTTATGGTTGCTTATCATTGGATAGTTTCGAAATAAGTTTAACAATAATTAAAGATGATCCAGTTAGGTAATAGATTTATTTTTCTGACAATTATAATTAGCAAAAATTTATTAACTCTGAGGAATATTTGGTATGATCACCTGTTACTATTATTAGAAGTTTGTTCATTTTAAACTGTGAAGTGTAAAACAAAAAGTGTTTTTAGTTCGAAAACTGTGCAGTGGAACAAAAAAGTCACGTTAATTACACAGCAGAGATACCGAAATTATCCAACATAACCTTATAAAAACTAGGTGCGATTCAAAGCGTTAGGTAATATAATGGACGAGAGATGAGTAGTATAAGACATGAACCACAGTTCCTAGTTGCCTAATAACCATTAGCAAATCTATGCATCTGAGCTAATGATGATATTACCTGACTAACAAAAACTCAGTTAGTGGAGCGGGATTCGGTCCTGTGACTTGACAGCTGGAAGTTCAACATCCAGACTGATCAACAATAGCTTTACATGCGACAATTTGAACCAGTATAATATACGTTTACCATTTGATATAGTATGAAAAAATAAGCACACAAATGCCAACGAAATAGATTACCAATTTTACCTGTCCTTATAGACAGTTATAAATAGTCTTATAAGTCTACCTACCAAATGCTAATGTGTCATAAGCACAAATAAGTTTGCTTTGAATAGTAGTAAAAGAAAAGGGTTCATTATATCTGGAGAAGAAACGAAATTCAACTTACCGCACTCAAAGTATCATCTGAACTACCAGCTGTAGCAAAAAATGGTCGAAGAGTTGGACGTGGTGTACTTTGAATTGACACTAAATTGATACTTTCAGCATCTGAATCCTCTTCTATATCACTAACTGTTGCCATACGATCAATTTCATCCCATAGTTTTGATGTAGCCGCCACGTCTAAATCAACCTGAATATATACATTCATCCAAAAGAAATAAGCAGTTAATTACTAACAGACAAAAATTCATACAACGTCATGCAATTATGTCTAAAAAATCGGAATTTATACTCAGGTACCTACTACTACGAATTTTCTGACGGTAATAGGATAGGAACATGGTAGATTATTAGAGCATGCCTTGGATAAAACAATGACACTTCAGTTGATACATTATCGTTTATTAAATTACTAGAAGATTCTGTTGAAAATTTTGTATTTTATGTATACGCATTCTTCACAATAAAACTACTCTTATTATTAAAGTGCACTGAAGAGTACTTGCTTCCTAAACTCCGATTAGATATACGGACTTACATGTAGCTGCCAAAACAGATACATTAGAAGAATGGAAAAAAATTGCCTATCTTAGATTTTTTGAACATATTAGAATGAGGAAGTAAAAGATCTTTGATCAGTGTAGTCACACGACAGTTGATTGATGCAACATATGAGGTAGGCATCTTGAATCCCTTCAAAATAATAGACAAACAAACAAGATCATACATCTTGAGGTTCCCACAGACTATTGCGATCAAACAGTTTAAAAGCTGACTTGTGCATTCTTCACTACTTCGGTAACACATATTTTAATCTTAGTTGATAATACAACCTCAGTAGTACTTAGTTACACTATCCTTTATTAATTTCTGTGCTTCAAATGTCTGATATCTAAATAAATATCTGAGTGTTGATTTCCAGGGATTTGAGTGGTTACAGGATTTCATCATTAGCTGACATCGATTAGAGAACCATTAGAAAACCTGGGAGTACTGGAGAGCTGTTTTGTCTGCCTATTTTGGGACTCCTCAACAGTTCGCACCCACCACAGGGGCTCAAACCCAGGATCTTTCAGTTACACGACAAGCTCGTAGACCAATAAGTCAATGAGACTCGATCCAATGGCCCATGAATTCCGACTTCTGTTAATTCGTCATATAGCCCGACCACTAGCCAATATCATCGGTGGTGAGTATTAGTCCTCACACTCGACCCGCTCTACCCCATTGGTCACCATATTTTTTCACATTTTATTTGCCTACTAACAATTTTCTAATGATTTCTATAATCTTCTAATTTTTAAAGTCCTCAATAAAACCGTTTGGTTTTCCCTGCTCTTCACTTTTTGATTTTTTTTTCTCGAGAAATTTAGATCGAACTACGTATGGTAATTACAGCGGTATCTTTTACATTTTACTAACTAAACACACCTCAATACATCTTCTCTACATATACCATGATGATTCTTAATTACTGTTCATTCATTCATTCATTCACCCAATGATCTAAAGGATGTTAAAATTATAATAATGAAACTAATTAACTTTCATTATTCGGATTGTATTCAGTTGACAAGACACTAATAAATAAGGGTCAACAATGTTTAAAAAAGGAATATAAGGATAAAACAGAAAAATCTGATGAAGATATTTCAACTATGAGATTAACTGATGATTGACTGAAGAAAACGAGAGACGGAAAAAAATAACCTGAAACAGGTCAAACGGTCATTCTTCTTTTTTTCTAAAAACACTAATTCTTTTTTTAGTTTAATAGTATAAATTAGGCGAATCTTTGTTGCAACCTTGTTGTTACTATTGAAATAAAGTAAAGATATCCTTTACAAATAGATGTAATGCACATTATTATAAAAGGCTAACAAGTTAGAAGAAAATATTGAACGATACAAAACGTACTGTACAATACAGAATGTTTACAGCACAGAACACGAAGGATAGATGCGTAAAAAATCTTTAGAAAAACGCATATATATTTCCCTTTGCAGACACATATATATGTACAATGGACCTGTGGCATACCAGTCCAGCTTTTCGACTATAAACCACAGGCGTCACTGATTCGACCCCTCCCCCTACTCTGCATAGTGAGGCTTGGGCATTGCTTACACTCACATGCGCCCATACAAACACACAAAAGGTGTGACTAATAATAATTGTCTTCCTGTATATAAGAATGGAAATTTCACTTCAACTAATCCTTCTAATGTGCATTAGACAAAAAGTTGTGGATAAATGCTTCTATCAAAAGATTGTCAAAATTAAATAAACACAGTTATCAGGTCCTTCTCATACATAATGTTATTATTATTTTTAAAACACGAACTCGGTATATTATGGACAACACGGGATGCGCCACACAAAGTCTCATAATTTGTGTGGGTATTGGGATACTGAGGCATAAGAAAAAGGCACAAACAGCGAAGAAAATTTTCTTTTCGACGATTCATTTTCATGAGCTGTACAATCGTAATTATAATTAACAAAGAAATCTTTAGATCAATCAGATACTGGTAAATTTTGTCCTTGGAAAATTGTATTACATAATGTAAGGTGTAAGAAGGGATGACTAATTGTAAGTTAGAAAGGAGACAGAAGTTGGCATGACGTAATAAGTGTGAGATAATGAATAATCAATAAGCTCGTGTAAAATGGACAGGAACTAGTGGACATAGATGAAGCATTAGCTATTCGAGATCTGAAACCCGACCTCTGCATCCAAAAGCGATACATACATTCTCTTGCCTTACCATGGCCAGAGTAAAGTTCTCACCACAATTTTGCTTCTTTCCTTTATTATGTAAGTTCACTATTATTACTATTATTATTTTATTTTATTGGTACTTTTAATTATCATTATTGTTCCCATCATCCACATTTTACTACCACTCTATTACTATTTATTAATAACATTGCTTTTCATACATATTTTATACAAAAAAAAACACTTTATATCCTTCCCACTAGTTCCTGTCCATTTTACACGAGCTTATTGATTATTCATTATCTCACAGTTATTACGTCATGCCAACTTCTGTCTCCTTTCTAACTTACAATTAGTCATCCCTTCTTACACCTTACATTATGTAATACAATTTTCCAAGGACAAAATTTACCAGTATCTGATTGGTCTAAAGATTTCTTTGTTAATTATAATTACGATTGTACAGCTCATGAAAATGAATCGTCGAAAAGAAAATTTTCTTCGCTGTTTGTGCCTTTTTCTTGTTGGGATACTGCCTAAGCTCTGAGACTGAAGCAGGTGATTGTCTTGAAGAACACACCCTATTTTCAGCTTTTGACTTCCCAAGGTAGTGGAACAGCGTCAGATGACCAAACCGGGTTCATATGCTATTTGATCCGTTTGGATTCTGCAGTCCATGTAGCACCATAGCTTTGTAATCAAGGTTTTCCAGCTTCACTATGTAGGCCTGCATGTCGACCAGTCGAGTTGTAAGCGCCTGACATTCATTTTAGCCCACTAAGTTTTGTGAGCAACAACCCCATCGCATGAAGGCATTGAATAGGATTCACATAGCAGACATTATGAACGCGTGGCCATTTAAGAGTGCTTCGAGATGAAGATCGAAGTCTACTTACCCTCAGTCGTACCAGGTTGTTTACAAGAGGCATATACGTAACATCTCTGAGGTCGCTCTTTCTTTACACGGACCAAAACCTTTCTGTCGAACCTTAGTCCTGTCAAAACCGATCTTAGGTCCCACTTTTATCGAGTGTAGTGAAAACGCTGATTTGTTTTCTAGTCTCTTCAAATCCACTGAGGTCTTTGGAATTACCATAACCCATTGATTATGTTCTCCTGTTCTTACCAGTCTGCCGAACAAAAGATTGAAATAATTTATTTTGATTTCTCTGAGATCTATACGAACATAATTTTGGCACATATCTAAGTTTCGCTACGCGTCCAACTATTTTGGAACTATTCGGTCAAATCTTGATTAGAGTTTGTGTAAAAAATTTATAATAAATATTATTATAATAACCAAAAATTGAGTGATTCCATATTAGTTTGTTTATTAGGTATATCACACAGTGAAACAGTATAATTTACTGGATGACGTTTCGAACAAAATTTATTGTTCATAATCATATCACAAAAATTGAGTGGTTTCAACCGGTTCGGCTCTCTGAGCTGAGTAAGACCGAGTACACAGCCGATGAGCACGGCCTCAAGCGACAGAGATAGCCGTCCGGTGTGAAGATCGCTTCGATCTAGCTGGTTAGCAAGCACTGTTGGTTAATATGAGTGGTATACAGCTACTCAACTCAGTCAGTCAGTAGTATATAGTCTTAAAATTCTGCTTAACACTGCTAGGTGAAAACTCTAGCAGAGAACCGAACGCAATGGAGACGCATGGCTGAAGCCCTATGTTCCTCTAGGAACTAAAGGAAATAATAATAATAATAATAAAAGCAGTACAAGAGGAAAAATAATGACAATAATCATTAGCATTAAAGGAGGACAAACATCGCGTACAGACTATATTTGGCGTACATAATTGAATGCAGTTGAGAGAGAGAAAAGTTATCGTTTTTCTGTCAACCTCAATTAATAAATGAATAGAAATATATGTAAACTTGATCACTTAATGTTAAATTAGGTGAAATGAAAAAACAAATAAACAACAAAACAACAAAAACTATATCCATCATGAACTCACCTCATTCGGATCACCTATTTTTAATTTCTTCAATAAACCAATTAGTTTTTGTTTAATCTGTTTTTGCTGTTAACGAAAAAGGTAACAAATAATCAAATGAAAACAAGAGGAAGATGTGAGTAGTTAAAATTTAAAAAAAAAACACCAATAACTAATTAATAAGACTGCTATGCTCGAAGATTATTGTTATATATGATACAACATTAGTACAGAATGAAATATTGTTAAAGAATAGCAACCAGTGCGAACAGTCTTCCAAATGATCTTCAAACAATCAATCAAGTCATTCAATCAAAGCAAATTAAATTCGGATACTGGAAATTTATGATACTTTTCTATGTTGAGAAGACTCCAGAAGTGATTTTGGTTGGTTGTGACTAGCAATGGAATCCAGGATGTGCACTTCGTCCTATTCGAGACTCATCGATTGGATGTGACTACAATCCACAATGAGTGATGATTTCACTACTGAGATTCGAACACTGCATTCATCATTTCAAACGCCAAATCACTATCCACTAGGCCACAAGAGCCACTTCTTGTGTGCAACTGCTAGTAGTTATTATTAATTTTGCAAATTAACCTGAAAACAAATAATCCCAGAAGTGAGCTAACGCTGATACCAAAAGAGAATAATGGATTCAAGGGTCAGATGATTTACAGTCACCACGATGAGAGTATATGTGGAAAGAAGGAGGTTTCACTTCTAGATTACCCTATGAGGTGTTGGGAGATATTTTATCAACACGTAAAACAGAACTATTGCATGAAAACTAGGTTTTAAATACAATTTTTAGAGACAGATTTACCACTTTTAACACATTTCTTCACTCTGATTGTCGGCTCGAAGACAAATTTAAAAGATTTTCCATCTGAATTCCTATTATTTAACTTAGACTTTAATGCTAGCATTATATGTAGTAGTTATTTTTCGCTCCCTTGCGTCCCGAGTGAAACATAAGGCTCCAAACTTAAAGCCTCAAAGTTTCAGTAATCGTGGTGATGTTTTCACTAGGTGGGGTTTCTAGCTTCATGTCCGAAACCTTCCCTCTTTCCCAGACCGACTACCAGTTAGTGAAATAGGCCAGGTCTAAGGATGCATTGGCCAACAATCGAACCCTGGGCCACGCGGATGGTTGACGAGCATTCTAATATTGAACCATTAAGGGTTTATTAATATTTTTGGCAAAGTATAGCATATTTACTGTATTGTATTACGTTGCAGTATTTATTCAGCAACTAGATTCCTAAGAATTTATTTAATTACCAAACCAGTCGGTGGGGAAAATGCCCAAATATCTTCTAACTAGAGACTGTATTTCTAAACTATAGCGTAAGGTGAATATCATCAAAGTGATTTACTGCATTGTTATACAATTCATTTAGATTTTTTAACTCGCATATATAGCTGCCGAAGCAGATACATTGAAAGAATAAAAATAAAGGCCAATCTTAGATGTTTTGAACACAAGATGCGGAGGGAGTTAACCTTAAAGCAGCACAGTCACAGAGCATCCGATTGATGCAGCACATGAGGTAGGCATCTTGAATTCCTTCAAGATGATGAACAAACAAGCAAGCTCAAACTTCTTGAAGTTCGCAGAGACCATCACAATCAAGCAGTTAAAAGCTGACTTATGTATTCAATAAGAAGCTGTAGTAAGTCTTTCTCTGCCTTGGTAACCTTGATAACGTTATCTTTTGTTAAATGTCAAGGGAAACGTCTTTTCACTATCATTTATTTAGATCGCTTATTAAACGCGTCGGTTACTCCGTGGTAGAATGGTTACCAACCACAAACGTGATCTGGGTTGAATTCCCAACCGACGCATTCCCGAGCGTCGATGAGCCGGTAGTAAACTCGGTAAAGAAGGAAGGTTTTACGTCAACCTTGCTACCACAGCTCGTAAGAAAGTATAAATCACTGCTAATAAGACTTCAGAGCTGAAGGTTTAAGCATTACATTCCTCTGAGAAAGCGGCAGAATGAAAAAAATGTTTCCTATCTTTGGTATGTAACCAGGCGAACTGATGTCTTTCTTCTTGCCGCTTATAACATATATTCTTTTTAGTAGGTATGATCATTATTATCATCACAATAATTGTTCGAGCTTTTTACTTAAATATACTAAGCACTTTCGTATAGATATGTAGAATACATTTTAAAATATTTAAAAATAGCAGAAATTTTGATGTAGTTTTGTTTTCTGAGTTAGGTGGTTTACTCGCCAAGCTTTAATTGCCCTACTGGGCAACATCATGCTTCAATTTGAAGTGAGCTTTTAGATTTCTCAACGAGTTTATTAGTCATCTCTCCCGGTGACCTTGAACGTAATTGGTTGATCTTATCTGTCTTCATACCCTCTAGTGTACTTGTATTGGTATTGATTGTTTCCTTGACCTGAAGCTCACTTCAAATTGAAGTATACGCTGAAGATGTTGCTTATTAGAGCAATGAAAGCCTCTCAAATAAACCATCTAGCTCAGAGGACAAAACTACGTCAAAATCATCCACCTGAGCTACAAATCTTCTCCATTATGTCTAATAGCAGAAAGTGAAAGAAAATTTCAACAAAAGTTCTAATAATGAATTCACCAAAAGAAAAGTTTAACCATAGCTTTAAAACGTGAATATTACTGTGTCTAATTAGTCGACGAAACTTGAGAAAAATATGTTAAGGAAAAAAATAGAGGTAAACAAAGCTAGTGCATACAGTATTCACCATTCTATAAGTACAGGAAAAACAACTCATAATCCTAAGTCTCCATTCTCTTTTCAATTTGGTTAGCAACATATTACAGCAACCAGTTTTGTTTCTATCCAGGTGACAGTTAACCACATCTTTTGTGTGTATGTGTTTATGTACGATGGCGGTTACCGATATTACCTGGCTATTCAAACCTCAGTATATGTGGAGTAGGATTCATACCAGTGAACTGATAGTTAGAAGTCGGACATTTAGACCAATAAGCCACGACTCCGTTGATTGCAGTATTAAACTATTAGAGGGATAATTGGTGGGTAAAATAGTTCTTTTCAAGCGTCATTATCTGCTACTCAAACTTTTCTTCACTTTTTATCTACTTAAGGTTCACACATCTTATATCAAAATTTCAATATACTACTTAATTGATGAAGTTATGCTCCATCTTACGTGTAACCCTATACACTTGAAAATTAAAGTTGTTTTTTGTCAATGTATTGATTTACTAAGATCGAATTTTGAGCATGTTTTTGATGAAAGGAGCACAGTGGAAGGAGGTCACCTATCTTTCACTTACCTGGGTGGCATCATTTCAGCTACCGGAGGCACAGATGAGAATGTCAAAGCCAGGATAGGAACAGCAAGACAGACCTTCCTTACTCTAAAATCAGTTCTAAAATCTGCTGCAATCAGCATAGGGAACAAGATTCGGATCTTCAACACTAATATCAAATCAGTCAGTACTTCTATAAGGATCAAAGACTTGGTGAGTCACAAAAAGGATTACTAACAGGTTATCGCAGAATGTTATCAACAATTGTTTTGGCTCCAAACGGAAAATGAAATGACCGAAGAGGAACTCTGACAAGGAACCAATCAAGAAGTTATCAATTGACAAATATGCCAAAGGAATTAGAGATGAATTGAACACATGCTGAGAAGATCATTGGGTAATATCATGCACCAGTCAGGTACTACTCGATTGGAAAATGAATGGGAAACGACAAATTGTCCGAGTGTGACATGTAAGAGATTGTGTGAGAAGGAAATCAAAGCTTTTGGACAGCTGAGGAGTCAGCTAAGAAGGGATGTGCTATGGAAGCCCTATGTTTCACTCGGAACCCAAGAAAATAATAATAACTATGTATGCTGTCAATATGGCCATCAGCAGTGCTTTTCAACAATACAGCACATATACGCCTGTAAATACTAAACATACGATTACATAAAAAAAACTTACTGAATAGACAGCAAACAGTGACACAACGAAAATAGTAACTATGGTTTACTCAACATCAAAAAGTCATATAATAAAAATATTCATATAACTGTTGAATCACACCCTGTTTCACAAACTGTATGCAAAGATAAGCAATCCTATCTGATACATATTTTTATCCAAATAGAAGCAGTTATTAAACGCGTTTACTTTGTTAACGATTTATATGAACACCCGAAAGTAAACAGCTTACAACTCCTGTTAAGAATGTCAGAGCATAAGAAGAGACAGCTTAAAGTGTTGTTAGATGGTTAGACAAAAGAAAAACGAAAAAAAAACTGTCAAACTTACACTTACATTTACACACTTTGAAAAACAAAAAGGGTATAAAGTTAGAAAAACCAATATTTCCACAAATTCGTTTTTATCCTCTTGGTGATATATACTGAAGATATAAGGTGAAGAAAGGAGCAACCAGACGAGTTATCTAATCCCCCTATTTACTGTTCAAACAATTCAAGTGAAGCAGTATAAAATGCTAAATATTATGTAACTGAGGGCTTGGATATGTGTTAAACATACCATGTGACAACTGATCACACCGTTTTGTGATCAGTTGTGTTACCTAATCCTTGGAATATGAAGTGGGATTGTGGTGTGTGCTACTGATAAGATTTATCAGTAGTATATATATAAAAAGATGCTCATCGGCATTAAAACATCAAACGCCAGGGAGATACATTTGATGTCAGAGAAGGCAAATGATACAGCATTGAGGAAATACATGGGAGACGTCAAAGTCACACAAAGAAACACAATATGAAGGCCAGAAGCAGCACAACACGGAAGATCTGTGCAAATGGTGCGTTGAAGATAAGGTGTACATAATTTCGCTATATAGAGAGGCCAAGTTACAAATTAACGTCCTTCGTCTTCTACCTTTACAGGATGTGAGTCAATGATCAAATTTTAAGACATCGAGTTTCATCACTGATGGGTGAAAATGACTTATATCGTAAACATCTTTGTTAGTTGTGAAATGACTTCGTCTATAATATATACAACTATGCATCAGAGAATACGTTAAGTTGAACTCTTCAATCAAATAATGACGATAGAGCACTTACAGTATTGATCCACAGTTCTCTACATATTACCATGAAACAGTGATAGATCACACACATACACACACACATAGTTATACGATAATGATAACAAAAATACTCACACCAACAGACATAGCTTTAACAAGCTTTTTTTGACGACTATGCCCAACTATTTCACATTCAGCCATTTGATCCTCATCACTCTCCTCTCCGTGATCTGAATCATCTTGTTCACTGTAGACATCTGGTAGTGGATAATCTTCATCCTCGTCAACAACTATTATAACACAAATTAAAGAAACAGGGAAGAAAGAAAACAGAGACAAAAGTGAATAATCGGTTGATAACAAGGTAATCAGAAATACTTATGTGTAAAGAGTCTGTCTGAGTCTGTTTTCGACACAGAACTTTGCATATATGTGCGGCAGTTCAAGTCGCCACACTCCCTCAATGTAGCACACAAAGGAAGAGAAGAAAGAAGGAGAAATGCAGCAAACAGAGGTGTGAGACAAAGGAATAGTAATAACGAAGAACAAAACAGTTCCATTGGAAATCATAAGTCACAAGGAGTGGATGCATCTGCGCCAGCCATTGAGAACGATTTTGAGCCATGTCACCAATTGTTTCCAACCATTGGATTTTACCGTCCTGAGGACCCCAACCGGTCAGGAAGTCTACACCTTCCTACGTGGCTTATATTAACTGTTGTGGATTTCATTGACTGGTGCCATGTTTTCGTTTGACCATCGCTAGCTCTTTTTCAGCCTGACCCTCATATAAGCTAACATTGCCCATTGTCGAGGAAGGCGATGACTAAGCATACGTAGCATATGTCCTAACCATCTCAGTCGACGTAATTTCACAGCCTCGTCGACTGATTTCCCCTCCTTACCTAGCACTCGACGCCTAACCTCAATACCCTGATAAAACTACTACTTTTTTGTGTAAAAAGTAAAAAATTAATGTATAAATACTTCCGTATTTTTTGAAATAACTGACTATAAAATTCTTTTAATTGAAGAAAGACATAAAATATATGCATAGAGTACGCCAAGAATAGATCATACTTAGTATTTTTCGCTTGAAATGCTATAAAAAGAGGTTCATGTAACTATTAAAAGAACTCTCCTCTCTAAACAGTTACTTTTAAGGCATTTATTAATCTGAAGTTGGTGTGAATATCTACAGCGCTTAGTAGGAGAAAGAAGATCCGAACTGCAAACAATAATGTCAGAAAACTAGTGCATTTCCAACACACAAAGAACTTTCATTAACATCCGCCTTCGCTTCAAACTACAGTTCAAACAACCACAAAGGATTAGTTACAAGGAACTCTACAGGGCAACAAGACAATCGAGAACCTATTACCCAATAAATATGCCAAAGGAGATGGAGATGGATCAGAAACACGCTGAGAGAACCGTTGAGTGACATCATGCGCTAGTCAAGCCTTCGAGTAGGACCTGAATGAAAAACGACGAGTTGGGTATCCTAGGGTAACATGGAGGAGGTCTTATAAGGAGGAGATAAGAGCTTATAGTCAATTGTGGAGCCAGGTAAAAAGGACTGCAGAGAACAGGATGAAATGGAGATGTACTGCTGAAACTCTACATTTCACTAGGAACCTAAGGGTATAAGGATAACAATAATATAATGATGTAAAATAAAAGCTGTTTCCTTTACCTTTACGTTTTCCATTCAATAAATCTTTTTCAATCGGAGAACTTGATAAGTATAAAACTTCAATTCGACCAACTGGAAGAGTAGAGCATTTCGGATCGGTGTATAAATCTAAAAATCGATTTTCAATACGACGTTGTAATACCTAAGAAAACACCAAAAAAGGTAGATTTGCAGATTATTAGTAGTGTTAAATAATAATAATAAATTAGTATTTCAAAATAAGACAGAAAAGATTTTTAGCTCATTCAAGTGAATTGTTTTCATGTGGTTGCATTCTCTGAGCTGATATTTGATTTAATTAGAAGCTTTCATTGTCCGCCTAAACAACATCACTTCAGCGCAAACTTAAATATGAAGTGTGAACTTACTTGAATTATCCCTAATTGTATCTCTTCACAAGCCTTGTCAATAAAAACGATCCATAAAGGTGTAAATTAACAACCAATCATGACAAAGGTTGTTGTCAAGAGATACAATTATATCGTTATTCATGGATAATTCAGATAAGTTCACATTTCATATTGAACTTTGCGCTGAAGTGATGTTATCTAGGCGGACAATGAAAGCGTCTCAATTAAATCAACCAGCTCGGAGAACGCAACCCCATATCGAAAATTGTATTTACCCATCTTGGCATTATAAAAACTACTCAGTTGGTGTAAGTGAAAATAAAGTGGGTGTTTTTAATTCGTAAATCCTCACCAATTATCGTTCACTTCACCTTAGGTTTTATAGTCTGCCAGGAATTCAAATTTAATTCTTCTTCATTATTATTATTACTATCTACAACGAAAATGTGCTTCTGTTTTCTTCTACACCCACACAAACAAATAATTTTCTTATGGAATCAATCATTTAAATGATCCACTTGTTATTGTCATTTTTCATCTTTAACATTTTTTGTTTGAATTTTGATTTTGTAAAACACCAACTAATTGCTTGAAATGTATATTGTTATTTTCAAGAGTTGGTGTGCAGGAATTTAAATAACTTCAAGTCAGATTACTAATAGATATCAGTTAGAGAAATAGTGAGTGAAGGAATGCTTATCAATGGCCTCGACTTGTAACCTAAAGGTCTTGGGTTCGATACCTTGTGGGACCAGGAGTACATATCGTTGAAAAATCTAAAAATGAGACGAAACAGCTATCTAGTACTTCAATGACTCTTTATCGGATATCACTTCTTGATCTGACTTGGTATGTAAATGTTGAAGTACTTTTAAGTGCTACCTCACACAAAAAATTTGGAGGATCTTGACTTCGCCGATTTTATATATCTGATTTCCCACAAACTGGAAGATATGCCAGCGAAAAGCAACAACTTGGCAAAAGAAGCATCAAAGATAGGACTTCAGGTGAACATAGAGAAGACAAAGGTGATGAAGATTCTGGCCAACACCACCACCAGCAACAACAACAGACAACAATCAGCATAAATGGAAGGAACCTGAAAGAAACAACCTCCTTCACCTACCTACCTATCTGGGAAGCATCGTTTCACCTACAGGCGGAACTGACGAGGATATCAAAGCAAGAATCGGAAAAGCAAGACAAGCTTTCACTACTCTCAAGTCTGTGTGGAGGTCAACAGAACTCAGCATGAAAATGGAAATAAGATCCGGATTTTCAACTCCAATGTGAAGTCAGTGATACTATACGGATGGATCAGAGACTTGGTGCGTCATAAACAGAATCTCAAACAAACTACAGACCTTCACTAACAGTTGTCTTCGCTCAATGCCACTCAAGATCACATGGCCAGAAAAGATCAGCAATATAGATCTCTGAGAGCGAACCAACACAGCAGGAACCGATTGTGAAAGAAATAGGCAGGAAGAAATGGAGATGGATTGGCCATACTCTGAGGAAACCATCAAGTGACATCACTAGACAAGCCATCACTCGAGTGGAACCCGAAAGGGAAGCGACCAGTTGGTCGTCAGTGCAAGGGTGACTTGGAGGAGGTCATGTGAAGAGGAGATGAAGGCGTGTGGGCAGACTTGGAGCCAGGTGAAGACTCTAGCAGAGAACCGAACGCAATGGAGACGTGAGGCTGAAGCCCTATGTTCCTCTAGGAATTAAAGGATACAATAATAATAATAATAATATAATCGATACAGCAGAAGAACACAAAATGGAGTCCAAAATGAAATGAAGAATTAAATTTCTATATATTCATAAATGACTTGTCTTCATCATCATCGTCACTACTGAATATTCAGCTATTCAGTAATAATTTATTGTAAAGGAGTTAATTTTATTCTGATCATATATCATAAAATGATAATTAATGTCATACTAATAAATATGAATTTTTATGAACCATGTTTTTAGAAGAAACAACAGATTGATCGAAGGGTTCTGAGTGGAACATAAGGCTTCAGAAGCACATCCGCGTTCAACTTTGTTCCCTGAAGTCTTTTTCAGCTGACTGTACGACTGCCCATAAGCTTATATTTCCTCAACACACACACACACATACGATCTCCCTTATGTCATACTAAGACGCTTAACCCGTTAACTTTCATTCTGGTTTCACTCGAGCAATGGTCTGGCGCGCATTGCTAATTAACGGTCTCCTCAGTGTATGTGCAATGCATCTCCACTTTCTTTAACCTAATTGCCACACAACAGGTTTTTAGTTGGTATGTTGCTTGAGTTCCTTGTTGCTTATCTTTTGCAAGTGGTCATCTAATCTTCTGAAAGCAGCCAGAGAAGACAGCTGCTGATGAAAGTCTCCAGTAGCCTGCTGGAAATGTTTTTCGTGACATACTAGGTCTCTGAAGCATATAGAAGCACTGGTTTGATATTACCATTGAAGATCCAGATCTTATTTCTCCTGCTGAATGCAGCAGATTTACACACTGAAATATATTCCATTTCAATTAGCTCCTTATCAACGACCTTTACACGACTGTATATACAGGTTTTATTATTTTCACCCCTCCTATTCTTCAAAATTAATATATCTTGTTGGCTAACGTCAATAAGTGGTTGGTGTAATTTCACTGTAAAACTATGTATCAGTGTACAGCTGTTGATGAAGAAATAATTCCAAAGGAATATATATGTATTTCTTCGTTCAATTGGATGTTTTTTTCCGAAGTGTATAAATGAGACTGTTTAGATTATCAGACTACTTTTATTTGAATGCTGTTTTTCACTATTTATCCTTGGGAATACCTACAAAAGAGAGATTAGTTTTACGTTATTACACAGCTTAGTGAATAGCTATTCGAGAGTTGTTCATACTCCACAAACCTTTTTTTCTGCTGCAGATGTGTTTACTCCTCCTTACCACTGAAATTCTTTTCACAACATTCTTTACTAATCTACTTTCTTATTGCATACCAAAAAAACACACTTGCACATCATCTCTGTAATTACATTTATGTATTCTTATTTTATGGAATAGTTTGTAAAGTATTAAACAATCTGAACTTTGCTTCATCAGTCAATCAGCCAGCCAGGTAATAAGAATAAGAAAATAATTTTTTTTACAAAAAGAACATCAGCTGATGTTCAGCTGTACAGATATACATGTAGGTATGTTTGTATGTACGGAACTACTTCTAGTGTATGATAAAAATGTCGACCAATTTACGATCCTTTATTGATTGTTTGTTATTACACATGAATCAAGTGAGTTGTTGTGTGTCAGTAGTTCAAGAGTAGAATAATTTGCCAATCAAGCACGTGACTGCGTTTCAGCATAGACAGAACTTTGGACACAAGTGCAGAAGTTCACGCAGTCACACTTCATGTAGCACATAAAGGTAGATAAAAGAGAGAAAGTAGGGGATTAAAAATGACTGTAGTAAACAGAAATGGGAGGAGAATAAAAATATTAACTTGGGAAAACATTGAGATTTATTGGATATGGGAGATCACTAAGAGTGAATGCATGTGGTTCGAGTTCGATTCTCGACCAAGGGACTACTAAACTTGGATTAGCCCACCACATGAAGCTAAGTAAAGGAGGTTAGGTTGGGTGTAAGTCTAGCAAGGTTGTCAGCAGGGTAAGCAACGTGCCACTTAGCCAGCTTGTTAATATTCTGGTTGACAGGCACATGGACTCATGTGAAAAATGGGCCAAATCCATTTTATCTAACTCACACCACCCTCTTCACTCACAACTCTCCTCTTGCATCTCATCAGGTAAAACCAGAAACCTATATAGAAAACTATATGCTCGCACCAGCAAGTACAAAAACTCAACCATACCCTACTTAGCTCGTGTTCTGTGTGATAAAGAAAGCATTAGGCGTGACACATATAATTCATTAAATAGTCAGTAGTACAACTAGATCTCGTCTTTCCAACCCACATCATCAATAGGTACAACATTTTCTTTCTTTCTTTTCCTTTTCTCTCTCTCTCTCTTTCTGTTATGTGCTGCTTTGTCTTTCTCTCGCTTACGCTAGTTAATAAGACAGCTCCCACTTTTCTAACACCTTCAAACACTGTTTCAGCTTTACCTTTGCTACTGACATGCCAATGTATTGTTGTAATAATGATCTGTGGTTTCCTTAATCTATGTAGAATTCTATTTATTGATAATGTACTAACTGGATGCAATACTGTAGTAAAAATGCTGAGAATTCCATTCTGTATCACATGTACTGTTTTGGAATAAAGCAAATTATTATTATTATTTTAAAAAATATCCCATCCCATGAGAAAACTAAACACCTTAGCTATTGAAACTCCAAAGCTTATGCTTAACGCTGTATATTCCACTCGGGATACAAAGGAATGAAAAAAGTGAGTAATAAATTTTTGTTTATACAGACAATAAAAATATAATCAATATTTCTTCAGAAGGAAAAATGATACAATGAATACAAACTAAAATATAAATACAAATCAGGGTTACAATTTAAGCCTTAGTACCAGGCTGTATGACAAACTATTATCGCCTGTGAGAGCTGATGATACTACCCAGTTGCTTAGGTTGAAGTAGGCAGAGAGAAATTCACGTCTAGGATTCATTGACTGAAAGCCAAATGTTCAAGACAATGAGCCAAGCTTGCGCTTTAAGCCTAGTTATTATTGACTAATAAATGCACAGTATTCAGGCTAATATATACATAACACTATGAAACACTACCTAACATGTACAACCACAGTCCATGAGCTT